AGTATTTTATTCACTGCAAATTTCCTCTCCTCTTTATCTTTGCTGCATAGTTGTGCTTGTAGAATAGATTCACTGTGAGCATTCCAGGCAGAGGAGCAAACATAGGGCAAAACTGCTTGTTGAATAATTAAGTTTAATTTTTGGACAAGTTCCAGCTGTTTGATAATATGGTATGGTCCATTGGTCCATTTATGTTTTACTTAAACATTAATAATAAATTTTTCAAAGATAAATAGACGATTATCAAACTACATATAAATATTTCTTACTTTAATTTTAAATCATAATACAGAATATACACCAACACAAAACTGTACACGTTGTTTTAAATTCTCAACATCGTTTTTATTTAGTCCATGCTCTGAACACCAAATTCTGCAAAGTCTACTTGTTAAATTCAACCAGCGTGCGTTATTGTGGGGACCAACTTTAATTTCTTTTAATTTTTTGGGCATTATTTTATTTTCAATAGCCTTTGTTATTCGGTATAGATATATTTGATCACTCAATAAAGTTTTTAAAATATCTTCATCAATATCTAATAAATTAATTTCAGTTTCTATATCTTGAATCACAGTGGAAATTATGAGATCATTGGCAATAGGAACAAGTTTACCAATATTGCCAGAAAACTTGTTATTTGAAAAGTTGTTTTCCCGTTAATAATTGACATTATGTGTCTCAAGGGTCGTTCATTTGTGTGCAAAGCGCAAACTATTCAAATAAGTTTTGTTGGAAGTTTTTTTTATAAAAATTGAGTGATACCTCCTTTTTTTATTTATATATATGTTCTGCTATGTGCTCTGCTGGGGTATTACACTCAGATCGGTTTTCTTTATCGTTTGTAAAATGGTACAGATATAAACCACCTGGCTCTGCACAAACCGAATAATCTTCTCCCATCAAACCGAATAATCTTCTCCCATCAAAAAACATTTTGTCTCATCCTTTCTTTCATCAAATAAAATGCATTAAACTCCATCTTTTACAACATTATCATTTTCAGGTTTTAATTGTTTCATCACCTTCAATATAGATCTTTCAATTTTCTTATGATCTGTCACTATTTCACTGTCAAACACTTTCTTTTTAAGAAGGCCTTCTTCTTTAGCTGCTTTTAGTGCTAATGTTGAAATAGCTGCAGTTGCTCGATTTGATACCCCATATCTTATTGATGCTAATGCAACTTCTTCCATATTCAATGTCTTTTTCGAAACTTGTCTACTAATGTACTCAAAACTATTGTCAGAAACAACATCTTCATCATCAGTATTCGCAATATTATCAATTGTTTTTTTGATTTAACTTTCTTGAGAATGAAAAGATAGGTATTCTATTTGTGGCTTCTTTTTTCCAGTGGTCTTTCTTTTATTATTTTTTTCTTGTCTATTGGTTTCTTTAAATTCCGAAGCACCCATTTGCATACTACTTTTTGTCCCAAATTTTTCTCTTTGAAATTTCATAAACTGAAGTTCTATTGTAGGAATTTTGTTTTCTCTATTGCATTGACAAGAAATATACGCTTTAAAATTACAAGAATTACAACTAGCCTCCTCACAAGAAACAATGTCACACTTGCACTTTGCTATATCAAGTAGCTTGTCCAGAGTAGAGTTAAACTTCGAAATAATTTCAGGTTTACACCTGTAGTTAATAATATTGGTAGCTTTTTTCCATACTTTTATTATTTTGTTAAACCCCAATTTGTCCGTCACAATAGGAATTTCAGGATTCGCTTTCAACCATTGTGTTTTCACTTTAGAGAAAACCTTTTTGCATGTATCTTTAAGTTTTGCATTTGTTTGCAGTTTTCATCTCTTCTTAGAAGCAGACCATACTTTATAGCATCTCTTAATGTGGGTAAATCAAAATCATAACACTTAGTTTGCAACTTTGATTATTTATACGTGTTCGTTTAGCCATCGATAAAGAACTCAAAGCTATCAATAGTTTATAAACAATATTTATTGTAGATTTAACGTGTCAACTCAAATGCAGCATTTAAAATGCAGCAAATTCAGATGCTAAAGCAACGGTTTATAATGCGGCAATTCAAATGCAGCAACTTATGAATGATATTTTATAAGTTTTTTCATATAACCTACTACATAAATTTAAGTTTAACATCTTATTGTAACTATGCAAGATATTCCAGCAAAATATATAAAAAATAACGATTTTTTTAAATTTTTATAATTATAAGTTTTTAAGCTAAAATGACTTTCTAGGTGTCTAATTAAGGGTATTTAGGATCGAGGATTCCATAAAAGATGTTTTTGAGTCAATTGGAGCAACCAGTCAAAAGTTGCAGCGAACCGTGTATATAGCGTTTTTTTACCCAAAACCTCGATTTTTTGGTCAAAATTTGAAAACCTTTTTTTTTGGGAATACTTTTATTTAAAGGCCAAAACATTTAAAAATGATATGGCCTAAGCGTTTACTGGAAAAAGTTGAAAAATGACCCGCCCTACTCTATAAAGTGAAACAATTTTATTTTATTTTTTATTTTCTATGGAAATATTTTTTTCTCTCCACCATCTGAGGAAGGAGGAGGGGGTGGGAGAAGGGGAGGTGGAATATTTGGAAAAAATATATATCCTTTTTTCCGATTATTAAAGGTTCATATTTTTTCCCGTGAATAAAACTATTTTATTTTCATGGAGAAATGAGAAGAAAAAAATCAAGCTTTAGTAAAGTTGGTTAGGAAAAAATATACACCTTTTACTTTCATAGAGCATGTTTTAAATTTTTCTTTTAAATTTTATGACAACCTATAAAAAATGCCTGGCAATTCTTAAATTCAGTTTTGACTATAATAATGAGTTGATTCTTTGCCTGATTTGCCCGTATTTCATCAACATTATACCATTTTTCTTTCAGACCTTAAATATTGTCGGTCCCTATTGATAATATTGTCAGTCCCTAAAGTGTGGTCAGTAGTCACAGCCATCCAGAAATGTTTTAGAATAACTTCTAAAACAGGATGTCTGCATGAAAGCATCAACAATGGTTTCCCAATATCATTTCTCAATAAATTAATGTTCTTTTCTAGCTTATTTTATTAAACTCACATAGTAACATAATTTTTTTTTCATCAGACAACATAATAAAATAAAGAACTGTTATGTTAAAATAAAGACTAAAATGTAAAATGAGGAAAGTACACATCCATATGCTCTGTGGGTTTTTCATGAATAAAAGTAACTTGAAATTATATATCGTAAATTATAATGAGCTTCTAGTTTTAAACTTGTAAATCATTACCTGTATATTGCACCACAAATTATTCCAGTGTTACTTGCAGTTGTATCAATGCAAACACTTCTTTCTTGATCAGCAACATCAAACTCTGTCAGAATTGACTTGATAACAATGGACTGATATAGTCCTGTTTCGAAAAAAATTCCTGGTGCAACAAGTAGATGATCAGTTCCCCCTGCTCTTAAAATATTGCAGGTTCTGTCAACTGCCTTACCATCATAAGTTTTTATCAAATCCTGGAAATATTATAAGGTAGGTTATTACAAAATATCAGTTCAATTTTCTTATTTTTTTAGTATTGCATATACTAATCTTGAAGAGCTTTCCATCAAAGTTGTAACTGAACCTTCTTATTATCATGTTTAATTGTATTTTGTATGAAAATCTTTATATTACCTGCATCTTGATTAATGATATCATATTTCATTCGAAAAGCTAAGGTTTAGGAAAGTGGCAATTAATTGGGATCTACCTCTGCTTCTGTAATTCTGTAATTAGCTTAATTAATGTTGCAGTCATTTTATGAGCTGGTACACTGAAAAAATAAATGTGTAGTTTTGATACACAAAAACTTGTGTAGTTTTATTTTCACACAAAGATGTGTAGAATTACCACAAAATTGTGTAGCCGCCATTTTAATAAGACACGTGCGTGTTAGCGGTTTAGTTTTGGAGGGAAATCGATTTCGAAGTTCGAACAAAGAGAAGAAAATATTTTTGTTTTTCGGTAAGAAGCATTTTTTGTTACAATATGTTTAAAAATAATAACTTGGTGTTATAATATAAAAGAGTAGTTAAATCTTTCGTTTTTATTTGCTGTTCTTTATTCACATTTATATACTTTCACTCAATATACATGCTGCATTAATTGGTGCACAAATATAATAGATACAATTGTGTAAATGTAACTAACGCAAATGTAAATGATTATTCAAACTTTTGCGTAATACATTGTATTTGATGCTAATTAAATATATAAACTTATTTGATTTCTAGTAATGTTTTTGCATGAGCGATAATTAGTGTTAGTACATAAACTGTAAAATAGCTCGTGGTCAAATACCAGTTTATATTTAACTACATTTTTAATCAGAAATCAGAATTTGTGTTGCTAATGAATACTGTCATAAGTAGCAAGTCTTTCTAATATTTTTGTTTACTTTCACTGTGCATCGTATTACTTCAAAACCATTAGATAAGTCATGTTTTAATTTGTATTTTTGTCAAATAAGTTTATTAGTTGCATATTGTTAAGAAGAAGCTTAACTCTATTATCACTCTATACACTGCAGTTATAATTGTAATGACTAATTAGAGTAATAACGAAAATAAATTTATTTTTATTGTGATTTAATGCATAAATACTAGCATGACGTACTTTAATGACATACTTTAAATTTTGTTTGTAATTATTGTAACTTTTTCATTCAATTACAAGCAAATAGCTTTTAAGTTTATGAGTTTGATGTTTTTGTTATTAGTGAACACATTACATCTTGTTATTAAGCTATGGTTTTTAAGTTTCTTTTATTTTAGTGGTGTATAACAATAATAATAATTATTATCAACCTATATTTTAAATAACTTATTATATTTTGTATAAAATTATGGTTTTAATTGATTTTACTGTTTTATTCTAATATAACTCGTTGTTGATGCATCTTATAATATGATTTAATTAATATAATCTTGTGTTTCTAGTTGTAAATATTTATACATAGTTTAAGTATTTGCTTGTAGATGTCTAATAAATTGTTGAAAGTTTGGACTCCAGACGGTTCGGTAAAAGCAGCTGTGGTATGCAGTAATTTGGCTGAATTGAAAACCAAAGGTAATAATCATTGAGTATTGTTATTCATAACATTTCTTATAAGCGGTCATCTCAAATAGAAGGTGCAAACAACAATGTTTCTTTTACACGAAACAATAGGCTATTATTGCTGTTTATGTAGAAAAAGTATTGATGCTTTTACAATTAAGAACTTCTTAACACATTTTCACTTGAGACATAGCTTAGCTAAATATGATAAAGTAGCACTTCATTGTGGACAAGATGGCTGTATGAGACTTTTTGATAGCTTAAGCTGATTATCGGCTTTTTTACGTAGAAAGCATAAGCTTACTTCGACAGATGCAAGCTCCATGGAACAAAAAACAGTTTATAATGAACCAGAAAATCTGTGTGATGAAATTGAAATGAGTGAGCAAGTGGAAGAGCCTGAAAATGATAAAGTTACCGACTTTAAGGAACAGCTAAGACAGCTACTGTTTAAAGTTTATGCTAAGTATGGGTGCTTAGATATTATACAGGAGGGATTTACTGATTTATTAGAGGGGCTGTGTCAAATGTTTTCTGATAAATTAAAGAATGTTGCAAATAATTTAGATGCAGTTCATATATCCACAACCAAAACTCAACTTGAATCAGTAATTCAAGAAATCGACAATGTTAAGCCAACTTTGAAAGAAGTAGGAAACTTTGAACAGCAATTGAAACACTTTAAAAGTCATATGAAATTTGTTGAGCCGGTTGGACGTCCAATATCTGTTCGTTATGAATCCTGTTTGGATAATGAAACTGGCAAAATATGTCAATATCCTATTCCTAATACATACCAGTATATACCAATTCATCAGACAATTAGATTTGTTTATAGCTTATGTATTACATCTTAAAAAAACAACAAAGGAACACAAATAATTTAATAAGTGACTTTAGCGATGCCTCTCGTTTCAAAGAATGTCAACTGTTTATAGAAAATTCGGATGCCTTACAGTTACATTTATATTTCGACGATTTTGAAGCCGTTAATCCGTTAGGCTCGAAAACAAAAATTCACAAACTAGGTGCAGTCTATATGATGATACGGAACTTGCCATCCTATTTAAATTCCCGCCTCATCGCCTCATGCATATTCATCTGGTATGTCTTTTTTATACAGAAGATACAAAAACTACGCGTGCATATGAACCAGTTCTTGAAGAAATGATTAAGGATATTAAAGCATTAGAAATAAAGGATATTGAAATTGAGCTCGGTAAAGCATGTCAGACAGTTAAGAGCACTGTTGTTTTGTTTTCGGCTGACAATTTAGGTGCTCATGGAATGTTAGGTTTTTAAGAGAGTTTTACTTTTGGTTGTATATGTCGATTGTGTTACGCAACTGTTGAAAGCATTCAAGATTACCACCAAGCCAGAGATTTTGAACCAAGAACTGCTGAACAGCATGAAAAAGACGTGCAGGACTGCAACGCAAGAAATACTGGTGTAAAGCGACAATCACCCTTTAATGATTTGCATTATTTTAAAGTTACTGACAACTATTGTGTGGATGCTATGCACGGTATATTTTAAGGCGTTTTTCCTAATGTGTTAAAATCAGTTTTATACCAGCTTATTATTGTCGATAAAATTTTTATATGTAATCAGCTCAATTCTCGACTGAAAACATTTCGTTATGCCACACATGAAAAGAGAGATAAGTCGTCTTGTAATACTTTAGAAAAATTGAAGTCAGGTGATAATCTTCTGGGTCAGCGTGCTGCTTAATATCTGTGTTTAAGTAGACTTATTTGTTTAATACTTGGAGATCTTATAGACTGTGAAAATACTTATTGGCAGTTGGTCACTCTTTTAATGGAGATTATAGACATTATTTTGTGTTCTAAGATATCGCATGGCATGATTTCATATTTAGATCAACTTATATTTGATCACCACACAATGTACAGGGAGTTATTTCCAACAAAACGATGACACCTAAGTTTCATAATTTAGTTCATTATTCTGCTTGTCTTCAAAAGTCTGGTCCGGCATGTCGATATCGGTGTATGCGGTTTGAGGCCAAACATAATCAGTTGAAAAAATCAGCTACAAGTTTCAAAAATGTGTGTAAAACTTAGCTCTTCAACAACAAATTCATCAGTGTTTGACTTGGCATTTTGAAAAAAAATTCGGTGGCAGGGATGTAAATAGTGGTGCTGGAGAACTAATATTTGTGCTTGTTACATACAGCATCTCCTGTATGTGACAAATTGCGAAATGGCATGTTGGATGAAGTTTATGTTTGTAGACATACAATGATTAATGGTACGGATTATTTCAGTGGAGATGTTTTAGTTGTTGGTAGACAGATGGATGAGTGTCTCAAATTTGTACTTATTAATGAGTTTATTTTAACTGATAGTGGCATTTATTTTGTTTGCCAAGAACTGCACACTCATTATTATGATAGTCGTTATCATGCTTTTGCAGTTGAAGATGATGACTGTGGAAAAAGTGTAGTACTAGATGATGAACTGTTAGACTGTTATCCATTAGCTTTGCATACTGTTTCTGGCACGAGATCGAAGTATTCATTCGTTGCTCTTCGTCATGCAGTTGTAACTAGGATCTCTAAATAAGCTTTTTATCTTCAAATTTTATTATGCATTGTTATCGGCTTTATAAGTTGTATTCATTTTTGTTTTTGTTAATTCACTAACATCAGTTCATGTCGTACGAATTGTATAACCTGCTGTGTAAAATCAAACGACAATTATGAATCCAATTTCTGTAATTTCAATTTTGTTCATTTCACTCGCTATGTACAATTTTTTTATGTAGCTGCCCAAAAGCTTGGTTTCGATATCGCTTTGTTCAAAATGGATGATGGTACAGATATCGATGATGATGAAATTGTGCAATATTTAAATCCCGGTGCAATAGTCTATGCTTTAAATGCTGATGAAGCTATCAGAAGCTTGGCAACAACATTATCTATAATACCCGGCACACCAGACAATACATTCGAACCATTGCAGACTTCTACACCAGAAACCAGCATGACTAGCATAACTTCAGCTGCAGATGTGCATCAAATGGAAGACATGAAAGAGGAACAGCCAAGCACGAGCAAGCAAGTTGTACGTAAACGACCAAGGGACGTGCCTGTTACTGTGATTTGAAGTATTAACGGTATATATTACAGTATTATATCTTATAGTAAAAATCTATTTCAAATATGTTACTATAAAAATGTGTATATGTAACTGTAAGGGTATTTGTATATGTGTGCTTGTATGTATGGGCAGAAGTGTACATTCACATTCACATACATGTACACTTGAATACAACTTAGTAGGGGTGTGACGTTTAATCGATTAATTGTTCGATTAATCGGCCAAACCTTTAATTGAATAATTTTTTAGTTTTTGATTATTTTTTTCCCAAAATGCATAAATTTTATCAAAATCAAAATTATGAGTAATGCAGCGCATGCTGGAATAGGCAAGTATATTATAAAGTACACACCATTTAAACCCCCTAACTCTTATTAACGTAGACGTCATCGGCATTTATTTTTATTCGATTATTAATCAATTAATTAATAGACCGCGTTGCCTATTAATCGATTAAAAAAAAAAATAATCGGCATCACGGATTAATATACATGTGCCAGAACACGTATGTTCTCATGCAAGAATCTTAAGGTGCCACTAAAATTCTGCTTCAAATATTATAAATCAATTTGATGAGTAAATGAAAAATAGTGTATACATAGTGCATTTGAGTAAACTATAATAAATGTATGTATTAATGATTAATGTTTTTAAATATCTATAGACGTTTCAGTTATTGTGGCATTAAAGAAGCATTCAAAAGAAAAGTGGATAGTAGAAGAGGGTAACAAAGCCGTAATGACACGTGAAGCTCGATTGACAATGGTCAAGGCAGCATGTAGTCATTTCATTGACTTATTTGGAGAGTATGTATTTGTACATTTTATATAATGTTAGCTTGTTTAAACTCAAATTGAGAAATAGATAAACTCGACAATAATAGCAAAAATAACAATACAGTAACAATTATGATAATATTAAGTATTAACAATAATAATCAAGCTTATTTAATGTTAAGCTTATAGTAATAATTTTAATAACAATAACAATAATGATAAAAATTATAAGAAAACTTATATTTAATAATTAAAGTATTGGATAAATTAAAACAATGTGCATTTTAATCATTGTTATGTTAAATACAATTGATGATGGGTTGGCAGATCAGTTAGAATTATAGTATTGTGCGAAATGGTACAATGATTTGTTTTCAATGTTTTTCCTTTTACAATTACTTACATTGTTGTGCAAGAAAGCATTATTTAATTTATTTTTTGTTTAGTTATCCACCAACAGAAAAGAAAGTGCTGATGGCAAAAAGCATCATAGAAGCTTTTCCTAACTAAAAATCAAGTTTCGGCGAAGGATATGTAAGAATGCATTTATTTGAATACTGATAATGTATTTATTTGAATACTGATAATTAGCTAATAGTATATGTATGTGCATGCATTTTATTGTTATGTGTTTAACCGAGTATATGTGAATATGCCATATTTGCTCTATATAACAATTTTGTATGATAACCAATTTTGTCATCAGAATCTGAAAAGTAAGTCAAAATTGTTGTTTTTGTACATTCAATACAAATTTAGGCAGTAAACTGTTTTTTTTTTTTTATCAAAGAACATTATTACTCATCAGATGGGACAGGTTTTATACAAAACTGGTTTAGGCAGATTCAACGCCAACTGCCTGAGCAGCAAAGGAAAATATCGCCAAAGATACAAACTATGTATGTCATTGTTTTCTTATAATTACGTGTGCGATTGCGTTAGTAAACAAATTAGGCTTGAGTAAGTTATAGATACATGTGCAGCTGTTAATCTATTAAGTAAATCTATAGCTAAATATGCAGCTCTTGATCTATACTATCAGCCTGTTTTATTGCATTTATTTTTATGTACAGCAGTCAATGATAGTGTGGTTTAAGCGGCTGACCAATTTATAGAGGTGTTTGGCGAGGATGCCGAATTAAAAACGGTCATGCTTCAGAATTTGGTACCATTATCGGCCAACGTAGACAAAATCTATACGTTAATGGCTGAAACGTGCAGTTATCGGCAGAGTTGGATAAAAGGGGGTGGAGGTTCTGCTGGATCTACAATGGCACAAATCCTTCAGAAATACCCTCGTTTTATAGATGTGCCCGGCTTCGTAAGTTTCTGTTTTCAAGAACATTGAAAAGTTAATAATATAGTTGTTATAATATTCAGAGATTGAAGAAGATGTTTTTTCTTCACATTTTATTGATGAACACAATAAAACCAAAGTTCACATTGTCAAAGAGTTTCAAGTTTTAATGTGAGTAGTTTTGGTTTTTACACCACTGAATGTTAATGTGGAGGTCTTTTTTAATAATTTGTTTTTGTTTTAAAATAATTGTAAAAAATAAGTATAAAAGAATAGAAATGGATTATTTATAATATTGTGATCTGATAAATCATGTGTGTAGCATTTGGTCAACTTTACCTTTACTAGTTAAACAAAATTCTTTAATACCGTAACCTTTTGCAGGAAGAAATATCAAGAATTGCTCTTGAGCCACGCCCAAAGAAAAATACACAAAAGTTATCACCAGGGCTGTGGAGTCCAAGCTGCGGAGTTGAGACATTTTCAGCAGAGTCGGAGTCGCTAAACAAAATTGCGACTCCGACTTCAATAGTAAAACTTCTCAGTATTGTACGTCCATGTACAAAACAATCAATTAACCTTATATTCATACTAAACCTCAAAGAACGTTTCATAAGTTTGTCAAAAAAGAAATTTTTAACTTATCCCGTAATATTTTTTAAAGAATTAGAAAATTTTTTCTAAAATAATGCTTTGGAGTTGTAATCGAAGTTGGAGTTGGAGTCGGAGTTGTGCTCAAAAAATTTCAACAACTGGAGTCGGAGTTAGAGTTGCACTCAAAAAGTTTCAACAACTGGTTTCGGAGTCATTACTTTTTTTTAACAACTCCACACCCCTGGTTATGAGTAACGGTTTGACATAAATCTGAATATTATTTGTTGTTGTTTATTTGTCAAAATTAAATAAGAATTTCTGTAAAACTTGAAGTTTTAATTTATTTTCAGCGGTTTACCTATAACTTAAGTGGATTGTTTTTTTTATTAGATTATTATTGCAAAGTAGTTTATTTAGTCAAAATTATTTTTTACTAGGTTTGCAATCTGCCTCTTTTGCCTTTGTCTGATTCTACATATAAAATTTTAGCTGATTTAAAATGTAGGTTTTCTGAAATATTATAGCAACTTCTGCGATAGTGTACTAAAAAAAATAACATGTAATTTTAGAATTTTAGTTTTGAGTTACTCAAGCATAATTTGAATTTTAAAGTTGTTATTTCATTGTTTTGCTTTTTGGTTTTATGAGCTAAATATGTTAATTAATTCTTTTGATTCTTGTTTGAAGAGATGCAAAATGTTATTCTCAAGGAGTAGAGATGCAAAATGTTATTCTCAAGCTTGCAGAAAAAAAAGTTCTTTTAAAAGAAGTTATAGAAATTAAGTTTCAGGCTACTGGGGTGAAGTTGCTAGAATCAGTGGACGAAGTGGTTACACTGGATAATAAACTAAAAGATAAAACCGAGTATACTAATTAGGTTTTATCTAATTATCTTAATTTTTAATAAGTTTGTTTAAATTTGGTTTATTAGTTTAGAATCTAAATTAAAAGTATTTGTAAATGAACTAAAATAACTAGCTTGTGTTAGAATCAATATGTTGTAAAGAAATTTAAGTTACATTAATTTTTATTACATTTATTTCAGCTTGATAGTTTGAAAAAAATTGGTGGCGGAAAGCCAAGAGAACATGTTTTTTTTATCATGAAAAGGTAATTGATTATGATTTTATTAATTATTAGAAATATGATTAAAAAGGACCAAAAGCAATTCATTTTGACCATGATTTGTTATGGATTTACTTTTAATACTAGCAATAAGCAACCCGCAATACAGGTTAGTAGTAAATAAATCATTACTAACAATTTGATCTTTATTTACTTTCTCTAATGAAATATAAATTTATTTATACATTTTTTTAGTTGAGCTTTTATTTTTCTTGGCTTCTTAGTTTAAAAGACTCTTAGCTTCATTAAAGATAAAGCTAACCATTTCTTTTGCAATGTTCAGACATTGAATGCGCATATCACAACCATGTAGTAGTTAAAAATGACTTGAATTATATGCACAGAACATCGATGTCAAATATTCAAATTCCGTAAAATTGTTTAGGTAAATATCGGGAATATATTCTACTCTTAATTTTGCTTTAAGCTGAGTCGTTTCTTTTTTTTTTTAACTTTTCATTTTACTGAGTGAAGAGCTTAAAAATATGTCACTATCGCACCTAAACTTTTCAATGTTACTAATATACTTTTTAAATATTTTTAAAACATCTAAAATATTACACCCAAACTTGTAGGCATAGAAGTTGGATATCCGGAAAAACTATAAGTTGAAAAATATATCGCAATTCCGAAAAGGGCTTACCCTGCATACAGCTCCTATATAATTGTGATAAAGATTATTATTAAACCAACCTTTTTTTTAATTAGTAATCCAGCAGAAACTTGTTTATAAAAAAACAATAAAAGAATATATGGATTTACTTTAATAGCTAACGTGTATCAACATATTTATTTCAGCATACATCCAATCCATATTTATACTAATTTTATAAAATGTCCGGAATACATTTTGCCTTAACTTGGCATTAAAATATTAGTTTTATTTCATTAATTTTTGTATAGATCAGGTTAATAATAAAAGCAATTGGATTTTACTCAATATTTTTGAAGTAATTATTCAGCTTTAATAAAATTGATAAAATCATATAAGACAGTTAAAAAATATATTTGAACCTTTGTTCACTTTTTGAAAATCCGTAAAAAAGCAATTATCAAGTTTACATATCTTTAAAAGAAATTTATTTACATGATATATAGTTAAATATGTAACAAAAATATTTTAAAACAGAAGCGTATATAAAACACATTTTTCTTAAAAAAACAAAGTTGAAGCCACTATTTACAGCACCGAGGAGCCAAGCATAGCCTATTGTAAAGAAAACCATATCAAATAATTTAAAATATTCATTACCGATAGGGACGACAATTAAACATATTTAAAAAGCTACGTGATTCCATATTAGTAGGATTGTTATAGAAAAGTATATTAAAAAGTATATTTAAAAAAAAGTGTATTGAATAGAAAACAGATTTTTAAAAACTACCTAATTTTGTAAGCATTTTGCCAATGGTGTTCAATTTTGAAACCAATATCTTTAATGGAAAGCCGATTTGTTTAACTAATCTCATTCAAAGAATAAAATTATTAACACTTAAAGATAAAGAAAAAAAAAATGAATGAGATATAAACAATCGTACTATAGTATTATATAGATAAGTAGATATATATGAAATAAAAACAACAACTGGAAAACAGTATACCTGCTTTTGGTCACCTATTGTGATACTGCAGCGGTTGCTGTAGGGATGCAGCTGTTCTTTTTAGTGTTGTTCAAAAACGTAATTTTTATGTTGGCTTTTAGTAAACTTTAGTTTAATTTAAAAGACATCACAACGGATTTAAAATACTCATAATAAAAAAAGCAAAACATAAAATGCTTCAAGGAGCCAAACTATAAACATAAAAGATGAAGAATCGAATCGAGATAAATAAATTGTATTTATATAGCTAAATATATTGCCTTGAGTTATGGTAAATTTTAAAAGCAGTGAGTTCAATAAATGAAACATACCAAATAATTGTTTTTAACAAAAGAATGCAACATCATTATATTATGATAATTGGATAATGAATCAATTCAACTTTCGACTTTAGAATTTAGGGAGGGGTATTTAAGAGAGCTTTAAATTTGAAGTCAGGTTTAATTGGTGAGAAAACAATTAAAACTTTCATTAAAAAAGATCAAAACAAATCAAATATACAACATAATATATATTTAAAAAAAATTTACAAAATTAAAATTAATTACAAAAACACCAAAGAAAAGCAGCAACCAAAAAGTCATAAATGTCTCTACTGGTAGAAGACATTTACAACCTTTTGGTTGCTGTTTTTTCTTCGGTGTCTCCCAACACCCCGGTATGGATGAGCCCTCCATTTAAAGGAGGGCTCATCCATTCCGCCATTATCTTTCCATTTGTTGAAGGACCTCTCTGAGAGAGGTGCCGGGTGTTGGGAGCGGTAAGTTTTATAATCTTCGAATGATAAGGAATCTAGCGAACTTATAATTTAATTAACACAGCCCTACCAGCTATACTTCCACCAGACACTAAAGACAAATGTATACTTAAATAAATATAAAATAATTGATAAAATAATGTTAACATATAAATATATACATATCTAAATAATTGTTTTACCCATCCGCTCATTTCATCCATAAAGTTGACTAAAGTAAGAAAAAAATAACTAAAGCTAAAAACAAAACTATAAACTAAACCAAAACTATAAACTAAAGTAAACTTTAAATCTTCTAAATATTAATGCTTTATTTATTAAACTAAACTAATCATAATTTATACTTAGTTTTTGTTCCAACTCCCCTAAAAGAAAGTATAAAACAAAGCTAAAGAACTTGATTTTTTAAAATTCCAGTGGCAGTACAAATAAACAAATTCCTATTAACAAATATCTAATAGAAAAAACACTGACTTATTTGCTTCTTCACTTCTGTATCTAAACAATAAAAGCACTTTAATGTTTAGACTTTAAAATATCGATAAAATACATATTAAATGCCACATTCAACTAACTAATGTAATTAAAACCTTTATTAGATCTCTCTTGATTAACTAAAGAATTTAAATTTTAAATAAACTCTAACTAAATTTTAACAAACAAACAACCGAAATAAATCTTTACTTTAATAGTACGTTATTAAGTTGATTAAATAGATCAAACAATAATCTACTCTAATAATCTACTACCTTATTAATAAACTTTAATTATTTTTCTTCGACTCAGTGTAACTATAGTATAGATATTTTTAAAGTAAAAAAGAATTTAATATTATAATATATATGATTTTAAAAACCTGAAATTTTAAATCTACCTCGAAGAAAACAGATATATATTGAAAAGTATTTTTATTTCTTTTTAAAAATTTAAAAATGCTTTATAACTTACTTGTTTCAATATTATTACCAACGTCTAAATAGAAAGCTACCTTACCATTATGGCAACATAGAAAATGTGTTTCATCTGGAAATTTCTTAGCACCACAGTGCTGACAAATTTGATTCATTTCTCCTAAATAGTTATAATCTGGAATAGCATTACTTCTCGCTATAGAATACATTCGTCCTTGTCCAACAGCTCTTCTTTCATTTTGGCGACAATTAATATTATCTCGATCGAGCCTATTTCTTTCATTTTGGCGACGATTAACATTATCTAGATTGAGCCTATTTCTTTCATTTTGGCGACGATTAACATTATCTCGATCGAGTCTATTTCTCAATTAAGCCTATTTCTTTCATTTTGTAAATGATTAATTTTATCTCGCCTAAGTCTATTTTTTTTATTTCGTTTACGACTATTTTCAACACGCCTTAAATCACTTACATCATTTTGTAAATACATAACTTCATCTAGCCTATCATTCATTTCAATGTCATCATTTTGATTAAACATATTTATCAAAGCAACACTAATTATTTCTTTTTTTTACTACTCTAAAGTTAACAATAAAATAAAAAAACTAAATAAATAACTCAAAAAATCTTACTCAAAAAATTAAAAAAAAAAATTCTCAAAACAAATATATAAAGAATCTAAACTAATGCAAAATAAAATTAATTTGCCATCATCAAAAGTAATACAGGTTTCTTAAGTTTATTTGATAGAAGTTAAGAAAAACCTGCAACCATATTAGCAAAAACTTAATACAAAAAATTAAAATTTATTCTGTATCTAATAAAGAAAAAAATATTTAGAAACAAACAACATATCTTCGCAGACAGCGTCATAAGGCATGCGTTAGGAGAAAACATTGAACAAAACGGGTAATAAAACTTATTAACGCGTTATGTACTATAGAAAACGGGTTATTAACGCAGGTTTACAAATCTTTTTCCCCCAACACACTATTACGCTGCGGCAACTCCAAGGATATACATAGTTATATATATACATATATATATATATATATATATATATATATATATATATATATATATATATATATATATATATATATATATATATATATATATATATATATATATATATATATATATATATATATATATATATATATATATATATATATATATATATATATATATATATATATATATATAGAACTATTTATTAGCGAAAACATATGAAAACCAAAATTTTTTATATAATATATATAGTATATTTGATAAATAAACCTCTACAATTTTTTTGGTTCAACAACTTGATTATGATTAATAACAACTATGTCAATATAAATATTCTTATGATCTAAATCTTTATAAATTAGATATTTTATTTTATATCTTAATTTTAAATTTAATAAATTATATTTATCTTAACTATAAATTAAATCTTTATAAATTAGATATAAATAGAAAAACAAACATATAATAACACAATTATATCCTAAACCAAATTCAATCATGCAAGGCAAATTATTAAACTTTTTGAAAAGAAAAAAAACCTATTTTTTTTTAAAGAGTTAAAGTATTAACAATACTATAGATAATTTTTATTTATAACAAAATGTTGTCATGGCTTTTATCCCAATTATTAAAAGCATTTGAAAGCATGAAACTACCCATAAATATCTTTTAATGGTAGACACCATCTAAGAATTATAGTAATCTATATTTTCAAAGATCACAAGTATAACACGAAGCTTTAAATTTAAAAGTACAATTTAAAAAAGATTACAATAAACTAATTACTTATAAAATTTTAAAAAGATTTTATAAATACTCAATGTCTACTTAGACATTTTGAAAAGATTACGATTTTGAAAACTTAAAACTTTAAATTTAAATTTTAAAAAACTGAAACTTTAACTCTACCTCAAAGAAAACAGATATATATTGAAAAGTATTTTTATTTCTTTTTAAAAATTTAAAAATGCTTTTAAACTTACTCCCTCCAATATAATTATATGATATATATAGTATATATGATAAATAAACTTCCACAATTTCCTTGGTTTAACAACTCGATTATGATTAATAACAACTCTGTAAGCATGAATTTTCTAATAACCTAAATAAATTACAGATAGACAAACATAAATAACACAATTAAATCCTAAACCAAAATTCATTCATGCAAGACAAATTAATTTATATTTATTGAAGAGTCAGAAACATATTTTTTTTCAAAGAGCATAAGTATTAACAATATTAAAGATAATTTTTATTTATATCAAAATTTTCAATAAAAATTAAATTAAGATAAATTTATAACAAAATGTTGTCATGGCTTTTATCCCAATAACCAAAACTATGTGAAAACATGAAACTACCCATAAATATTTTTTAACGCTAGACACAATCTAAGAATTAAAGTAATCTATAACACGAAGCTTTAAATTTAAAATTACAATTTAAAAAAGGTTACAATAAATTATTATTTATAAATTTAAAAAAAATTTTAGATTACCTATAATTTTAAGCTACTAAACATTATCTACTTAATATTAACTTGGACATTTTGATCTCGTAACATGAAAGGTTGAAAGGAAATTTTTAAGAAAGCACGCGGTAAAGAAAAGTCTAGAAACTACTTAAAAAGTGTATTTTACAGATACAGAACCGTACCGTAACTATAAAACAATACGCGTAACTATGCGCACTAATAATAATAATATTCATTCGGCTATCCATTATAGAGATGACAATTTGATAAACTCGGTAGCTTCACTGTAGGTGTTAAAGTTTGTTTGTGTGCTAAAGTAAGTGTAATGCTAAACATTGTTTAGCATTTTTAATTTAAGTTTAGCAAATTTAATGCTTACACCTTTCATAATTTTCAGCATTCATATATTAAAATATATTTTAATTTATTACATATATTAAAATAAAAATCTTTATAAATATATTTCAGTTTATTGTTAAAATATTTATCAGGTTATTTTCGATCAGTTACAGTCCAAATTAAATCGAAAAGGAAATGGGGAAAAGATAAGCTTAGAATATCTAGTAAATATATGAAGTGTTTTACGAGGTTAGTTTTAATAGCATTTACAAAACTGATATCTGTATTAAAAAGATATTCTTCGACTTTTTTGTGTCATGCTAGAATTTTTGTATCCATAAAACAAGTTCCTTAAGTTTTTTCATAAAACAATTGTTGTTTATTATTGTATCTGGTTGAGATACAAATCTTCTTGTTTATATATATATATATACATAATTATATATATATATATACATAATCATCAGTAGTGCTGTTATGGTATTATAGCAAAGTTTTTGTATACAAAATAAGTTTAATTGCATATTGTTGCTATAACTAACTTGTTGCTGTAACTATTTTGATAAATTCAATTCTAATAATACACAGGAAGTACCAATTAAAAGTATCATGTTTTTGTTTGTGCAGATACTTTTCGTATGATAACAAAAAACTTTCATAGTTAAGCTCAAGGAAAACAAAAAGTTGAAAAAAGCTTCAATTACATTTTGGTGGGAGCGTTGACAGGTATAAACGTGGTTGTCAAACCTATTAGTTGATAGGCCAGTTCTGCAAATAGAAATATGTCCATTTATTCGTAATCTTAAATTGTTAGTTTTGCCAGTATATGTGGCTTGTTTTTTGCCAGTATATGTGGCATGTTTTTTGCATTTAAGGTAATAAATTATATTTTTGCTGTTGCATGTGATGTGAATTTTTATTTTTCAGATAGTACCATTAGGAGTTTCAAGCTCATCTACTTCTTGAAGGTAGAGTTTGCAGATTTTACATCGAATGTCTTTGATTGTAATTGATTCATTTAATTCAGTTATAGAAATTTTAAAATTTATGATATCAAGATGTTTTGGCCAGATTATAAAACCATCATCAATATATCTAAAATAAAATTTTTTTATTTCATCTACTTCACGGTTTAAAAAATACTGAGGTAAAATTACTGGAAAAAGCTTAGTCTCTTCTAGAAACCCAATAGTAAGACAAGCATAATCTGGCGCGAAATCTGTACCCATGGCTCTATCTGGTGAAATAATTGTTTATTGAATATAAAATTATTGTTATTTAAAATAAAAGATGGTGACTCAATTATGAATTCAGGTGTAAATCTTTTATCTATCAATTCTTTATATTTAAATATCCAGAACTTTAGGGCTTCTAAACCAAGATAATGTGGGATGCTTGTGTAAAGATTGACAATGTCGCATGTCATTATACGACTTTCTGATTCAAGCTCTCTTGTAATTTTTCTGAGGAAATCCCGGTCATCTTTAATGAAAGATTTTTGTTTCTTTACAATTGGTGATAAAATTATATGTAAAAACTGGCTTAAACGAAATGTTGGCGAATTTATTCCAGCAATAATTGGTCTACCTGTAAGATCTTTTGGTGGTTTCATTTCAATGAATAAAGAGTTGGACTCTTTTACCTTTTTAATGATTTCTTGGCATTTGTGAATTTTATGAATTACATAGAAATTACTAGATTTCTATTTAAAGTTTGTGATACATTTTATTTCATTTGTCCTGAGGTATTTATGTTTGTTTATCAACTTTAATAAGATTGCTAAAAACTATTTTATCGGATTCAGTGCTTATTTTTTCATATGTATTAACAGACAAAAGATGGTCTTGATAAACAAGTTTGTTAGTATAAAATGTCGAATCCATTACAACTAAAGTATTACCTTTGTCAGCTTTTTTAATGACTATGTCTTTCATTTATTGTAATTCTTTAATCGCTGCTCTTTCTTCTTTTGTAATGTTATCAATATATTGGACTTTAATAGGTTTAGTTTGTTCAATTTGTGAAATAATTTCGTTTAATTCTGGCAGAGTGGTTTTGGCACAATAATTAGATTTATTTTTAATTATACTAATATCACTACTTGTAGCACCATAAACTTTTTCTTTTAGTATAAGTTTCCTAGTAAAATTTTTAATATCTGAATCGATATGTAAGAAATTATCATTTGTGGCCGGGCAAAAAATTTTAGACCTTTGGTGAGAAAAGATATTTGAGAAGATGTCAAGTGTTTGGTGGATAGTTTGATGACCTTAGGTTGTATTTTTTTGTACTTGGGCTTGTCCAGTTTTTTGACGGTATTGATTTTGTTTGTTGGTCATGGTGGATGCCATCGTTATTTGATACAATAGAACTTACATCAATATTATTATTACTATTTTGCTATAATACCATAACAGCACTACTGATGATTTTTTGAGAGGCCTCTAGTGCTTAAAGTTTATTTAATTAATTATATAAAAATACTTTGTATAAGTGTATTTTTTGGAAAAATAAAAAAAATATTTTTAGTAATAAATGTTTTGAGAAAAAAAGATTTACTTTTGTTTACTGGCTAGACTATCTTTTGCTTTATATTGGTTAAAAATCATATTTCTAGTTTATATATATATATATAAATATATATAAATATATATATATATATATATATATATATATATATATATATATATATATATATATATATATATATATATATATATATATGTATATATATATATATATATATATATATATATAAAATATTTCATATTTCATAGATTATTCAGAATTCTATATGTCTTTTAAAGTCATTTAAATGTCATTAATGTATATATTTAAGATATCGGCGACGTGGAAGAAGATGTTGACGGCAATGCAGAAATATAGTTTCTTATGTATATATTTGTGAAATAAAATTAAGTAATTTTAGTTAAAATGTTTCTTTACTTATTTAATTTAATCATTTTTTATGGCTAATTTAACCGCTATAACACCTTTGTATCAAACAAGTCCCAGCAAACAAAAAGAGATCTAAAATGCATCTAATATGCATCTAAAAACTGGTCTAAAAGACATCTAAACTCACGTCGTGAACGGGACATAAATAGATGTCTATCTTATAGATGTCTTTTAGATGCATTTTATTCGACACAAATAAATGCCTTAGATACATAAAAGATGTGAAATATACATTTAAAGATGTATATCAGATGTCGAATAAAATGCATCTAAAAGACGTCTATAAGATTGACGTCTATTTATGTCCCGTTCTAGACCTGAATTTAGACTTCTTTTAGACCAGTTTTTAGATGCCTTTTAGATATCTTTTTGTTTGCTGGGAAAGTTCTTTTTGTTTCTTTCGAAGAATTTCATTGCATTTATTTCAAGTATTTTATTATAGCTATGCAAAATCCTACATACAACTTTCATTATTGTTGCTTGATAAAGGCACTAAAAGAATGCTTAGTGTTGATATATATTAATGTTTATTTTACTATTTGTCTGCATACATATAAGCAAAACTAGTTTCATTAACTGTTGGTTTCTGTAAAATAATCGATCATATGATTTTAAGGTACAACAAGATTTCAAAAGTATGGCTGCTAGTCCAAGAGAAGATCCAGCAGCATACTTTGAAAGCAACCTTGCTCTCAAAGTACTTCGTTATTGTGTTGGCTAAGACAAATCCCTTGACCTAACGCAGAACTTTGAAAATTTCACCGCAGGTACAATATTTAATTATTCAGTATGTACTTGAGTGTAAGCACTTTAAATTATTGTAAAAGTATGTAAAAAAAACCTATTTATTTGTTATTAGATGCAACGAGTCACAATGCGATGCTATGTTTGCTGGAGATGCTACCTACCATGGAAAGCATCGGACATCAGCTAAAAATGCCCGCCAATATTTCATCGACGAGATAAAAGTAAGTCGATGTTAATAATCATTGTATATTATCGTTTGCATGTAATAATAATAATAATAATAATAATAATAATAATAATAATAATAATAATAATAATAATAATAATAATAATAATAATAATAATAGTTTAAATGCATTTTATATGATAAACTAAAACAATGGTTTTAGCTTGTTTGCTATCAATTTTATAGGATTTAAAACATTATTTATTAATCTTTTTTTACCAGATCAGTGATAATTTGGAAGCATACTTGGAATCTTGCCAGCAAGAGAACAAAAAGCTTGAAAGGTTTCAGCCGTACATTTTAAAAATGGGTGCTACTGAGGAAGCATCCTATTACATTATCTGTGATGGTCGTGCCTTGTTAGTGAAGCCATCGAAAGCTGCCAATTCTCTTTCAGATTTATTTTCAACGTTTTTTGTTTTTAATGTCAGATATCCATCTCAGCTTATGTCATTTTATAATTTTCTTGAGGTATATATGTTTGAAAAGAAAAGCAAACTCTCTGCCAAACCAACTACGTTACTTAAAGATTTGTCTGTATCATAAAAATTGCTTAGTTTTTTTATCACAAGGTTTAAGTACGGTGTCATAATCACTTTAATTTTATGAACTTCATAAAATTATTGCAATTAGGTGATATGAGTCATAACAGGAGTATGTTAATGTACTCCTGGTCATTAATAGGCTAATATGGAAAAGATGTTACATAGCTTTTATTGTTAACATAGTAAAAGGTGTAATGATAAATGGTGTAATGCAGTTAGAGAACTCTAGTCAATATGACACCAGGTGCTAACTGCCATTTTTTGAATTACTGAGGAATTCATTTTTTGTGTTTCTTTTACACTGTTGCGTTTGAATTCATAGCGTGCAATATTATATAGGTCCTTTCAAATTGCTTATATTTTATACTCAGGGAAAGATGTAATGGTAAAGATGTAATGCAGTTAGACAATGTCTAGTCAAAATGAAAATTGGTGCTCAAGAGCGAAAAATTCTGTTTTGTATTGCAAAATGACGTTTGCTTTGTATTCAATTATACATGAAGACTAGTTAATTGCGCATTTACTTCAAATACATTTATTATGTAGTAATAATTCAGAGTAGAAGAAAAACACCAAAAATGTGTAATAAATAACACAAAAATGTGCTACTACGCACACAAATAATGTGTGAAAACTACACATTTTTTGAACTAAAGTACACACTATAATATGTAGTTTGTATACACTAAAATGTGTGGAAGCTACACAATCAATGTGTATACTTTTCACACAATTTTGTGTAGAATTACATAACTACACATTTATCGTGTACCTCATAACACAAATTTGTGTTGTCGCCATTTTAACACAATTAATGTGTACAAAACTACACAATTTGTGTAGCATTTCTAAACAATTTTTTTTCCAGTGTATATTCTCATGGTTTCCTTAATAACCTCTTTAGTAACAGTTATGGTCTGATCCTATCTTTTATTTTTCAAAGCAGGTGTGAATTCATTTTCTGGTAATTGATTGGCTGCTTCAGTTTATTTCAATAACACAGAATGCTCAAATTGGCTTTGAGAGAGTTATATCAATACATACCAATATGCTACTAAAAATAATCTTGCATGTTGTTAAAACTACCCATAACTCTCCATTGGAATTAATTTTAAAATTATATAATTTGTATTTATTATAATTACAATTATTAGGCACAAAACATGGATTTTTCTTTAAAATATTTACAATGCAAAAAAAAGTTTTGCAATCTAAATACTCTATTATGCTGTATGTTTTAAACATGAAGCAATTAAATTGCAAAAAATCAGGCCATTAATTTATAATAGGCCAAGAAATATCAGGCATACTGACTGTTTTGGGGTGAATAACTGTTATAAAATTCATAACTTTTCATTGTCTAATAGATGCTATCATATTTCTTTACTTAAATGGTTTCACAGTGGTGAAACTTATAAATTATAATATAATAGAAAAATCATTGAATCTTTATAAAGAAACTGTTTTTGTTTTTATAATTGTAGGGTTTCAAAAATGTATTCTTATGTTTTGAAATCGTTACCTAAAGTTTAAAAAACAAGTTTATATTCGAAAAACAAATTGATGAGTGTATTACCTCAATGCACTAAAGTAAATTTAAAATAAGAACTGTTGTTAGCGACATTCTCCCAATGTTAACGCATTTTCATTGTTTTATAAAGAATATAATGGAGATAGAAAATTATTTATTTATCATCGAATTTAGAGAAGGAGTGTTTAAAACATACTTATTGTTTGATATACTCCATTTTACAAAAAATGTAAAAAACAACCTGTTAAATGCAAAAATATGTTGAAGTTACTGTTGGTTACATTGCAGAGAATATGTTTCTTAAGGTTTATTAAAAGATCAATTATTAAACAGGCAAGAAAGAGCAAGAAAAATTATTTATCAAGTCACATATCTTGGAAACAATAAACACGTTATCAACGTTACATTGGCAATATTTGACGAAAGAGTTGCAGCTGCAATATAGAGTTATTTTCTTGAAAGAAACCATGCAGCAAAATTTTTATCATTGTTTTATAGGTTATTTATCATACTTAACTCAAAGCAGAAACTCAATTCATCCAATTAAACTCAGCAATGCTGCTTTGAAAGGTGATAACAAACCCACACTTTATTGAGAAATTGCAAATTGTACTAAAATTTGATTAAAATGAAATTCGGTAAATACTTTACATTAACCAAACAAACTTCTCATGCTCTAATTACAACACTACAAGCAATTGTATCTCTTTTGAATGATTTGCTTAAAGAAAGCTTTACAGTTGTTCTTACTTTTAATTTGTGATCCAAAGTGATCCTTTGGAGCTAGGTTAGTAAGTATAAGTAAATGACCAATGGCCGACTTTTTATAAGTCTTTTAGAAATATGCATTAGTAAAAGGATTATGGTAGATTTTCCCAGAAAATATTTATCAAAATGTTGATAATCCTCAAAGATATTATTCAAAATATTGTTTAGTTGTCTACATGAATACTAGTGAAGAAGATACCATAGATATATATACTAAAGCAAATAATATAAGTAAAAAAAAAAAAAAAAGTTTTTGATGTTAAACTTATGATCATTACATGTTATTTTGTACAGAGAAGAACCTAGATATCCAATTCAACGTCTCTCTAATTTTTTATGTCATTTTTTTAGTATTTTATATGTTATTTCTCCTATTCTAATCAAACATTGCAGTCATATTTTTTCAGTTAAAAATTTGCAGAACAAATTTTAAAGATTTGTTAAAGCAGTGTCAATTTTAGTAGTGAAAAATACCAAAAGTCAAATATAGATCTCGTATTATTAATAACATTTTTTATAATAATTTGCAAAAAGAAATTACATATTCGTTAAGAAAAGATCAAGTGAATGAATTCCAAAAAAGACAAAGACCAAAGAAATTTTCCTGTAAAAAGATATTTCTTCTTATAACTTCAATTATAATAAATACAAAATTACAAACCTTTGATTTTATATGGAGAATTTTGGCAATCTTAACAACATGTAAGTTTTTTTTTAATTGCATGTTTTCAACATGCAATTGAAAAAATATATATATGTTATGGAGATAATGAGCGGAAAAGGAAACGACCACGTTAAAATTAAAAAACAAATTTCATTATTTTTTTGATCAATAATCACCATATAAATAATTTTTTTTTTTTAATACGATTAAAGGGTTTTTTATAAATTTATGGAAAAGATACCAATTCTTCTTAATGAATCGAAATTTTTCTTATTTTCGATTTTCGATCTTTTGTTAATTTTTTTTTAATCTTTTAAACTTTTAAAATCGTAAGTAGTTGCAAGTTTTTAACAAAATACAAATATTTATATTTATATTTTGATACTTATATTTATATTATACTTATTTTTAACAAAATACAAATATATCGCAAAATTTCAATGAAAATACAAACATATCGCACAAGTTCAATGAAAATACAGACATATCGCACAAGTTTAATGAAAATACAGACATATTACACAAATTCAATGAAAATCATTGCGCAAAGGAGCAAACAATCTTTCAAATTTGAAAAACGATTTTTCAAATAAATTTTTTATATAATAGTTCAACAATATCAAAAATTTAATAAATATTAATTTTTTTTTCAACACACAGTAAACATTATGAGGTTGGTAAACGAATAGTATATTTCTACCAACTTAAAACAATATTTCAAAAAAGTTTGTTAATTTAAACCGACTCAGGTAAATAGAACGTCTTAAATTACAATAGATAATATTTTTATTAACTAAGAAACATAATTTAGTTACTTAGAAACATTATTTGAGGCAGTAATATTTAAGACTAATATTTGTGATCATTTTCCAATATACATTAACATAAAAAAATATAAAAATTATTCCAAATGATCAACACAATATTATAAATATAAATAAACGCAATCTTTCAACTTTTAGTAAGAACAATTTTTTTTGTTCTTTATTACATTAAAATTTTTCTACAAATACATAAAGTTAAAATATTTACAATTAAAGATTATTTTAAAATAATGATAGAAATTAAATAAAAATAAAAAACACGGAAACTCAAAGAAGACTTCGAAGTCTTGTCATGAGAACCGCTAAAGTTTAACGCGTCAGTAAAAGTTGATGTATACTCATAGAATGCGACTTCTTCTTTTCAGTATGTCTTAATTTTGTGACGAATTTTTAATTTTTCTTCAAAATTATTATTTTCTCCAACAATTGTAAAACACCTTTGTAAATACATTATTGAATAGATTAAGTCTATCTTTTTTTTTTTTTTTTTTTTTTTTCTTTTTTTTTTTTTTTTTAAGTATCATGACTGTTTTTGTCGAGTATTAATTACTATATCACAACTGTCTTGTCGCATTTTTTAATTGGAATATTTTTCTTGTCATATGATAAATATTTTCCAATCGGTGATTTGTAAAAGTTCTTCTTTGACCCACGTGCAGCAACTTTGAAAAATTTCAGCCGTTTTAGGCATGTGGATTAGTTTTAAAAGTCATACTAGTCATTTACGTGTATGAACATACATAACACCATATGTGCATATAGAACATTTGTATGAACACAAGTAAACACATTGACATATACAAATAAAAAATATACATACTACATGCATATATACATATATAAATACATACATGCCACAAATATTCTTTTTTTTCAAAGTAAATAAATTTTAAAAGGGTTAAGGAGATGCATTTATACATAAAACAAAAAACGTTGAAAATATAATCTAACGAACAAATTTTATTTAAAGAACTGGAGTGATGTTTATATATGTCAAAATGCAAATGAAGTATGTAATATACTTTTAAACAAATTTCAAGAGATTTCTAATGAAGCTAGTCTAGTGAAGTTTTAAAAATAAAAGCAAAAATACTTGCTAATCCCTAGATGGATTAAAAATTGCTCTAAAACTAAACAAAACTGGATAGGGAAAAACCATATTTCTATAAAAATTGGTTTTAG